AGGAAGGGTCACCCGACCCGAAACGTTAACTCTATTTTCTCCTTCACAGATGCTGCCAGACCTGCTGAGCTTTTCCAGCAACTTCTGTTTTTGTTCGTACCTATCAAGCCAGGTTTCGCTATGGAATCTGACTTGGCCAGTACTGCCATCATCTGGGATCATAACATAGTTTCAAAAGCTTTTTAGTTGTTCAACAAGTAAAGATAGAGAATAAATACTGGGCTTGCCAGTAACCCCTGCATCCTAAAAATCATATTTTACGTCTAAACATCTTCATTTTATACACTTCTGATGCAAATAAGTGAATGTTTTGGTCTCACTGCCTGTAAGGCTGGCTGATATGTTTCTCAACCCCATTCTCCTGCCCTCTCTCTGTAACCCTATCTCTCTCTGTCTTAAAGACACTCAACGACTTGGCCTCCACAGCCCTCTGTGCCTTTATGCTTTTCTTCACTTCACCTGATGAAGGAACAGCACTCTGCAAACTTGTAATTTCAAAAATATCTGTTGGACTCTAACCTGGTGTCCTGTGACTTCTGACTTTGGTCTCTTTATTTATGGAGGAATGCACTTATATTGGAAACACTACAGAATAGGTTCAGCAGCCTGATTCCTGGACGAAAGAGATTTCCTTCTGAAAAATGTGGAGCAGGTTTGGGGTGCACTGACGGGCTAAATATTGGGAGGATGTTTCCTCTAGTGAGGGAACCTATAACTGGGGGCACAGTTAAAGATAAGGGGTCACCACCTTCAATGAAGATGACTATACTCACTCAAAGTGTTGTTAGTCTTTGGAATTCACTTCACCAGAGAAAAGTGGTGCTGGGTCATTTAATACATGATGAACTATTTTTTTTTATTATTCATTCATGGGATGAGAGCACCACAGGCTGGGCCTGCATTTATTGCCCATCGTTAACTGCCCAGGTGGCATTTAACCACAATGCTGTGGGTGTGGAGGCACGTAAAGCCAGATCAAATAAGGGAAGGCAGTTTCCTTCCCTAAAGGGCATTAGTGAACTAGATGGGGTTTTCTAACAATCGACTGTGGATTCATGGTCATCATTAGATCCTTAATTCCTGATTTTTTAAAAAGTGAATTCAAATTCAATTCAAATTCAGGATTCAAAGCCGGGGCCCCAGAACATCAGCTGGCTCTGGATTAACAGTCCAGTGACAATACCATTGGACATCACCTCCCCAGAATTATTTACTGTTCAGAAGGAAGCTATTTGGTCATTTGTGTCCATGCTAGCTGAGAAAGCATTATTCCTTAAAGAAAAGAATTCTGAAATGTACAGGATCAGCAGCTTTCAAGCTGTGGGGTACAACCCTGAGTGAGGTCACAGACACCATGACAGGGGTCACGGGCTCACCCTCCTTCAAGCCGCAAACCCGGCACGAGGGCCTGGCCACATTCAGCTATGGCCATGGCCTGCTCATTGCTCAGGATCTTTCTCCCCTACTCAAGGCCTTCTATGATGATGCCTGCAAGGCCTTGGCAGCACACTAAAATCTGGGCCATTCCCTTGTGTCATTTGAAATGTTCAATAGAAAAGTAAACATTTAGTGGAGTCCTCCCATTTTAAAATCAATGATGTCAAACTGGCCTCTAGGGATCTTTGGAATGATGTTGCTATTGATCAGCAATACTGAACGTAGATATGAACACTAAGTGTGCGCTGCTTCCTGGTCAAGGTCCAAAAGCAGAAGCAATTTACAGATTCCAATACAATTATAATACAATTACTAAATGTATATATAAACAAGCTTTAATGATTATGTACTGAATGTTATACAGTGCTTCTCTATTGCTGTTTTGTTTTTGTTAGTATTCTGCGTCATGTTAGTGTTCAAATGTCAAAAAGCAGTCACACTGGATAATAGTTTGGAAAGCATCGTGTGAGTATGGAGTCTCTTTCCCAGGGTGGAAATGTCAAATACTAGGGAGCATAGGTTTAAGGTGAGAGAAGAAAACTTTAAAGAAGGTGTGCAAGGAAATGTTTTTACACAGAGGATGGTTGGTGCCTTGTGCTGCCAGGGGATGTGGTAGAAGCAGAAACAATAGCAACGTTTAAGATGCATTTAGACAGACACTTGAACAGGCAGGGAATAGAGGGAAATGGACCACGTTCTGGCTAATGCGATTAGTTCAGAATGGCAGTATGGTTGGCACATAGACATGGTGGGATGAAAGACCTTCCTCTGCTGTACTGTTCTATGTTCTATAGCCTGTGTACTGTAACCTAGTCAGTCAGAGGTAGTACTCTTGCTTCTGAGTTAGAAGGCTGTATGCTTAAGTCCCACACCAAAGGCTGCAGCATTAAGTTTAAGCTTCCCCTAAAGTTTGGTTCTGAAAATGTTCAGCACTGTTAAAGATTCGATTCTTTGATTAAATATTAACCTGAGATTCCCCCTTCCCTGTCCCCGCTCTCTCAGATGTACTGAAAAGATCTCCTGACACAACTGTAAGGAAAATTGGGGTGTTCTCGCAGTGTCGTGGCCAATATTTATCAATATTACTATATTGTTATTTGTGCAAGTGGGCAACACTTCAATGCAGTATGTGCATCACTGGTCATAATAGAAGAGGTGGTGGAGTAATGACAATGTCAGTGGATTAGTATTCCAGAATCCCAGGCTAATGTTCTGGCGATATTGCTTTGAAACTCATCATGGCAAATGGTGTAAGTGGCATGCAAAGGTATAGAATGAAATAAAGATAGTCTAATGATAACCATGTGGCCACTGCCAACTGTCATAAAATCCCAGTTGGCCTTCCGTTTAGGGAAGGAAACAATTGTCCTTACTTGGTTTGGCCTACATGTGACTCCAGACTTACAACAATATGGTTGATTCTGAAGAAGGGTCTAGGCCCGAAACGTCAGCCTTCCTGCTCCTCTGCTGCTGCTTGGCCTCCTGTGTTCATCCAGCTCTACACCTTGTTATTTCTATGGTTGATTCTTAACTGCCTTCTGTAGCATCCCAAACTGGTGCTTGGGTTCAATGTAATTGCTAATCTCTGAAGAAATTTCCACTGACTGACTGTAGTGTTGACACTTTATAGGAGAAACATGAAGGAGGGATTAAAAATTGGAATAGAATATTGGGCATTGATACGCGGAGTAGGGAAGCGTTGGAGCTGCGAAAGACACACTGACGGATTAGGTTAGGAACTGTTGCGTTCTGAGCTTGTTTGGATTTGTAAAGCGATATTTTCATTTCATTGGTCAACTGAAACAGTGCAGTGAAATTTAGATTCACAGAAAGCACTTTTAACCATGCTAATTTGCATCAAAAGTGACTGACAAGTCAATTTCTGTGCCATAAAGGCTTGGTGAAGGAGAGTTCCACAGATCTGTTTTAAAAAGAGATTTAGATAGCTGCTTATGAAAATTGTGGCAAAACAGTGGGACTAAACCATGCAGCTTATATGAAGATGAACAGTTTCTCACTTTAACAATGAAATGTGTTGCTTCCACGCTGCAACTTTCTCCCAAACAAACTGAGGGGCAAATTTGGAGAATTTAAGCTAAGAGGTGACAAAAGCTTTCGGCAGTAGTGGAACGAGGTTGTAATCTAAGCGTGTGATGGGACAGGGTAAAGTTAAGATGTTTGGGTGATCGATTGGACTTAGGTCTTAACACTCAGGTTAGGGTCAAGCTAGTCAGAAATGCTCTAATATACACCAAGCTCTGTTTGAACATGTAGGTATCAAGTTCTGAAGGAGGGTCACTGGACTCAAACCGTTGATTCTGTTTCTCTCTCAACAGATGCTGTCAGACCTCTTGAGTTTCTCCAGCACCCTGTTTTTGTCTGTTCTGGACATGAAGTGGGATCAAATTGGCATGTACAGCTTGCAGTTTTTATTGCAGAGAATGACTTTGATCTTAAGATTAATTGATGGAAGGAATAAAGGTTCTGCTGTTAAGTCTGTGCCAGCTATAATTTCTGTCTCCCTCCCTCAAACACCATTATTTGCATGAACAACAAAGATCAGCAGAATGTAAAGAAGCTGCTTTAAACTGTTATACTAATTATTTGATGTACTATATAGTTAGAAAATGATATACTTAATTCAGTTTTAGGACACCACAATAATGTTCTCATCACCTCATATGATTCCATATTAGACAATCACTTAGGTTGATCAATGTCTTTTTTAAATTCTACTTTTAAATAATTAGCACAGTGTTGACTGAGATTACAGTTTATACATAATTATAGATGTTAAAAATATTATTAGAAGTCACACAACATGAGTTGTCACTTCACCTGACGAAGAAGCAGCACCCCGAAAGCTAGTGATTTCAAATACACCTGTTGGACTATAACCTGGTGTAATATGACATCTGACCTTGCCAACACTGGCACCTCTACATCAAAAATATTCTTGAAATTTGAAGTCAATCAAAAGGCCACTATCATTACAAAATAAATTACAACACCATAACTAAATCTCAATAACCAATAATCCCATGTTTTACTTCATCAAATAGTTAAAACATTTAAATACAACTAGCCTTCTTCAAGTATACATATATATACATAATATATACACATCTTAAATCCAGAAATATATCCCCTAGATTGGATGAAACATACCTGCACTAAATTTCTCACATTTTATATTTACAATTTGCTGAATGTTAGTTTTTATGTTACTGGTCCAACAAACTATGATATCCATTTACAGAGAATACCCAGTTTTGATCGCAGACTTCCAGTCATGAGTTGCATGAAGACTCGAAACTAGGTCAATGCCATTTTGAAATAAATATCAAATGTCTGTGACAACTTTCTTCAGCAAGATAGCTTATTAAACTTACAATGTGATTATATTAAAACTCCTCAGAGCACTACCATAGTTGTAAGGTTATACTATAAAAGCTTAAAAGCTAATAATCAAGTAACTCATTTCAGAACAATAGCATGGAACTTAAGATCAGTTAGGTTTTTATTTCTATGAAGTATAATTTCTCAAGTAAATTATGCTGTGATATCATGAAAACAGAAATTTATTTTTCATTTTGTAATAGATTTTAGGAGGAAAAAAACACAAAAAAGCATTGCATTATTAGTTACAGATATTCAGCCTAAATATTATACATGATTATTTCCTGGTTGAAGTTAATGGCAGTAATCATGGTATTTTAGAGTTATTTATACAATTCTACACAAGAAATAAAACATCTTTTCCATTTCATATACTGATCAATGACTTTGGTCTACTGTCCAACTATCTAAAAATACTTTCCTCTTTGGCAAGACAAAAGATTACTGTCAACTTCATTGCTTCAGAAACATTCACAATCACAATCTTCGCAGCAATATAAAGTTAATTTACTCCTGTGGTCCATCCCTAGTTCAGCTAATTCAGAACCAACAGTAATCACAAATTTTTAAGAATATAAGCATCCAATCTTGCCAAAATTTCACCTTGCAAACTGATGTCACTAACATATGTTTTCCAGTTAACTGGGCCTGGCTTACTCTGCTTTGGTTTTGCCAAAATATTCCAGTCACATATTGGAACGAGTCAGCCAAGTAAAATCCTGAAAGCAAACATCATAAGAGCATAAAGTCAAAGGTAGTAAAAGATTATTTGGATACTTAGTCCACAAAATCAAGTAATGCTATTAATATTATCTCTCACTATGTTGATTGCTGATTTAATCCTCAATAATATTTAATAGATTTATGAAAGAAAACGTCAGCATTGTTCTGACTCATATCCAAAACTTTCTGCAGTCGAACATGATTTCCAATAATTAGTTCGAGCTAAGAGGTGAATTGGAACTGTAGTGGTCTTTCCCCCCACATGCACTTCTGCATGTAAAAGAAATTAAATGACGTCTGAAACAGCAGAAACACCAACATTTCTTTGCCCTTCCCCCTTTCCCAGCTTCACCAAAATACAAAACCGTGATTTTGAACTGACAAAGAGATCTCACCTTCACATTCAGATCCTTTTGAGTAATGCACTGCAGCTATTTTTAACTTATTGCTTCAAAAAACACCTTCTGATCATAGGATTATATATGATATAAAACTCATCATTTGGTCCAACAGTCCATGCTGGCAGTTACACTCCAATTGCACCACCCCTATCTTTTTCTCACCTACATCTATGATCATCTATTCCCCCTCATTAGGCTGTCTAGTTTTCCCTGAAATAAATCTATATTATTTGCTTACACACTCCATGTGGCAGTCAGTTCCGCATTCTCACCACTTTTTAGGCGAATAGGTTTTTCTTCTGAACTCCTTATTGGATTTCTTGGTGACTATCTCCTTTTGATGGCCTCTGGTCATATGCAGCTCCATGACAGGAAACATTATTTTCTGTATCCACTGTATCAAAATCTTTTGTGATTCTCAAAGCTTCTTTTCAGTCACTCCTCAACTTTCATTTATCAAGAACAAAGAGACCCAGCCTATTAATCCTTTTCTGATGTGTATAATCATGTATTTTGGATATGCTCTTACAAGCTTCACCTGCATCTTCTCCAGTCCTCTCGATTCTACTTACAAAATGACAACTAAACTGCAATCTAAGTGTGGTCTCAAAGTTTAACACTGGTTTAGCATGACTTGTATATACTTTTCGGTTTAACCAATTGAAGGGTCCTTCATGCCTCTACTCCGACAGGACTTGGACCTTTCAAGTCAAGAATGGCCTCCCTATTCTTCCTCTCAAAATGTACTAACCCTCATTTATCTGCATTGAACTTCATTTGCCAAACATTTGCTCATTCAGTAAGTTTATTAATGTCCTCCCGTAATTTGTTGCAGTCCTTCTCATTGTTGATAAACCTCTTTATTTATATAATTTATAAATTTATAAATTGTGAGTTTGATTACAAAGTCCCAAATCATTATTGTGAACATCAGTGGTTACAACACTGATCCTTGTGGCACACCACTTTCAACCTTCCATCACTCTGAAATACTACACTTTATTCCCATACTCTGCTTTTGTTGGTTAGTAACGCATTCTGTCTGCTTGTCCCCAACTCCACATTCTCTGGCCTTAAGACAACAAGAGCATTACTACTCATATTTAATAATTTGTTAGAAATAAGCTGTAGTGTCAGAGAATTGGTCAATAGTTAATAAAATCCCAATACTTTAAAAGGGCAACAGAAAATATGAAGGCAATTATAGAGAAGTCAGTTTAAGATAAGTGATAAGAAAAGTAATAGAGTTGTTACTAAGGATGTCAATAAACACACGTAGAAGTAAGTCATATCATAATGAATGGTCAGCACTGTTTTTAAAAGCGAAAATTTTGCTTGACCACAATTATAGAATTTTTTGAGGAAGTAAAAAAGAGATGATACTGATAATGCAACAAATGTAGTTTATCTAGATTTTCAAAAGGTCTTTGATAAGGAATGTGAGTATTAATGCCTTTATTATCTCTTCCCTAGATTCTTTCAATATACGTAGCTACAATCCATTGAGACCAGGGGTTTTATCCTCTTTGAATTTGTTTAGTCTATTCAATATATCGTTTTAATTTGAAGTGGATGTAACTCATTACTCCACTGATTATTTAATGTCATGATCACATGTTCTATCTCACTGGTAAATACATTATCATCTCCTAAATCATCTCCTCTTCAGATTCCTCAACAACATTTGCCAACTGAAACCGAGATGACAGACAAGAGAGAGCCAATTCTTGGGTTCTTGGCAATGCTGCTCTTGCAAAGCATGACTGGCCAATCCTTCCTCTCTGTAGGAAAGCAGCTGACCTCTATCACCCATCCTGTCCGGACAGCTGGCTGAGGGTTGAAAGCTGACTGTGTGGGTAGTCTCACAAAAATCTTGAGCGTAACAATTCTACTAGCACTATCTTGATGTGTTGCTGGAACCCCGCTACCAAACATAAAATTAATTTAATAGATTCATGATAAAGAGTATAATCATCACCACAGGAGGTCACTCTAAATACAGTACACTCCACAAAATACACAATCATCTAAACATACATAGTAATTTAATGTGATTAATTATAGGTATGTTCATTCACATATCAGACTCTTTCAACTTTCTCTCCACCTCAAAACATCAATGGCTGCTTCAAATCCTTAAGAGTTAGGGGACTTCAAAATTGTTACACTCACAAAACATTCATTCCTTCAAATACACTTACTTGTTTCTTTCTATCAGATGATGGGTCAATCATCACATTAATAAGTGATGGTAGTTTCTGGTCTGCCAAACATGCAGCAAGTGCCTTTTGCAGCTCCTCTGGTGTTTGTACAAAGTAGCCTTTTCCACCAAATGCAATCATGACCTGCTCATAATGAGCATTAGGTGTGAGAGAGATGGGTGGAGCCCTAAAAGAATTGAGAAAATGTTTATGTAAATTTATATTTATTTATCAAAAGAAGAAAAACAAATGTCATTCTTTCATTTATTTTTGTCTAAATGAGAACCAAATTACACAATTAATCATGGTTTCAAAATTCAGCCAATTAGTGAAATGTTATCCATTGTTACATAAAAATATCCTCAGACAATTGCTTCATCTGTAACATGGGCACTCAATGTTTAGATAATGCCATTATTAGAAAGCATGTTTGACAATATCAATATTAGCTGTTGCCTCAGTCATGTACAATAACAAGTAAGATATAAACAAAAGTTGCTATAAATTAAAAGTACATAATTCCCTACAATTTGGGGGAAGGCAACGGCCAAGTGGTATTATCGCTAGACTGTTAATCCAAACCTCACACACAGTTCTGAGGGTTGGGTTTGAATGCCACGATAGTAAAATTTGAATGAATTAAATATCTGAAATTAAGAATCTAATGATGACCACCAAACCATTGCTGATCATTGGGAAAACCCCACCTGGTTCACTAATGTCCATCAGGGATGGAAATCTGCCATCCTCACCCGGTCTGACCTACATGTGGCTCCAGATGCACAGCAATGTGATTAATTCTCAGCTGCCCTCTGAAATGGCCTAGCAAGCCACTCAGTTGTATCAGTCACTATGAAGTCTCAAGAAAGAAATGAAAATGGACAGACCACTTGGCATCGATCTAGGCATCAGAAAAGACAACAGCAGAAACAGCTCTGACAATGCTGCAAAGTCCTCTTTATTAATATCTGAGGGTTAGTGCCAAAATTGGGAGAGCTTTCTCACAGACTAATCAAACAACAGCTTGACGTAGTCATGCTCATGGAATCATTCCTTACAGACAATGTCCCAAACACCACTGTCACCATCTCTGGATATGTCCTGTCCCACCAGAAGGACAGACCTACAGGGGTGGCGGCACTTTGGCATACTGTCAGGAGAGTTTTACCCTGGGAGTCTTCAAACATTGACCAATAATTTCAATGTCTACCACCAAGAGTGGCTCGGCAGCTGTACTACTGATCAAGCTGCTCAGGTCCTAAAGGACATAGCTGCTGGACTGGGTCTGCAGCTGGCTGTGAAGGTATCAACAAGAGAGCAAAACATACTCGACATCATCCTTCCCAATCTGCCAGCTGCAGATGCATCTGTCCATGACAGTATCAGTAAGAGCAACCACCGCACAATCCTTGTTGAGACAAAGTCCTGCCTTCACATTGAAAATAACTTCCATCGTGTTGTGTGGCACTATTACCATGTTAAATCGATAGACTTGGAACAGATTTAGCAACTCAAGTCTGGGCATCCATGATGCTCTATGGGCCAGCAGCAGAATTGTACTCCAGCACAATCTGTAACCTCATGGCCCAGCAAATGCCTCACTGAACCATTACCAAGTCAGGGGATCAATCCTGGTTCAATGGAGAATGCAGCAGAGCAGGCCAGGAACAGCACCAGACTTATCTAAAAATAAGGTGTCAATCTGATGGCACGACTGAACAGGATTACTTACACATCAAACAGCAGAAGCAGTAAGTGATAGACAGAGCTAAGTGATCCCACAATCAACTGATTAGATCTAAGCTCTGTACTCCTGCCACATCTAGTTGCAAATGGTGATGGACAATTAAATAATCCAGTAGCTCCACAAATATCCTCATCCTCAATGATAGAAGAGTGCAACAGATCAGTGCAAAGATAAGGCTGAAGCATTCACAGCAATCTTCACTGAGAAATGCTGAGTGGACGATCCATCTTAGCCTCTTCCAGAGGTGCCCAGCATCACAGATATCAGTGTTCTGCTAATTGGATTCACTCCACATGATATCAAGAAACGATTAGAGGCACTGGATATGGGCCCTGAAAACATTCCAGCAAAGTACTGAAGACTTGTGCTCCAGAACTTGCTGCTCCCCTCGCCAAGCTGTTCCAGTACAGTTACAACACTGACAACGTGGAAAATTGCTTAAGTATGTTCCATACACAGAAAACAGGACAAATCCAACCCAGTCAATTGCTACCCCATCAGTAAAGTGATGGAAGGTGTCATCAACAGTACTATTGAGGAACACCTACTCAGCAATAACCTGCTCAGAGACACCCAGTTTGGGTTCTGCCAGGGCCACTCAGCTCCTGACCACATTGTGGCCCTGGTTCAAACATGGACTAAAGAGCTAAATTCCAGAGGTGAGGCGAGTGACAGCCTTTGACATCAAGGCTGCACCTGACCAAGTATGGCATTAAGGTGCCCTAGCAAAACTGTAATCAATGCGTATTGGGAGCAAATTCTCCATCAGTTATAGTCATACCTGGCACATAGGAAAATGGCTGCGGTTGTTGGAGGTCAGTTATCTCCATTCCAGGACATCTCTGCAGGAGTTCCTCAAGGTAATGTCCTAGGCCCAACAATTTTCAGCTGCGTTATCAACATCTTTTCCTCCATCATAAGGCCAAACGTGGGGAGGTTCACCAATGACTGCACAATGTTCAGCACCATTCGCAACTCCTCAGATAGCGAAACAGTCCATGTTCAAATGCAACAAGATCTGCACAACATCTAGGGCTGGGCTGAAAAATGGCAAGTAACATTCATGCCGTACAAATGCCAGGCAATGACCATCTCCAAAAAGAGACAATCTAACCACCACTCCTTGACATTTAGTGGCATTACCATGACTGAATCCCCTACTATTAACATCCTGGGGGTGAATTAGGAACTCATTGTACAATCACTGAGACAGAGAATGCTGCATCAGGGGCACCCAACTCAGCTTCCAAACAGTAAGTTGCATCTTGCCAACCTGTTTGAATATTTTGAAGAAGTCAAAGAACGAACCAGCATAAAATCAGCCTGTGCCAAATCATCGCTAGATCTTCCCAAAATCAATCCCACTCCTTATCATCTGTTTACCCACTCCTTATCAACTTCCGACTTCAAGTATGAAGCAGCTAAGGCGATTCAGCCAACATTCAAGTTTTCTTAAAATATGCACAAGCAAAATGAAATATAGATTTGTTTCCTATGCATTGCCAAATTTTGCATTTAGTGCACTCCAAAGGAAGTGAAAATAAGAGCATAATGTTTTATTTATTTCAATACATTTGTAAGTTTCATTCTCACGAATGAGAGTAGCAGGATAATACTCACATCATCATTATTATTCTCTTCCATGAATCAGTGGTGTGCTCTCTCATCAGAGACTTAACCTGAGGATCACCATGCCTCAGGCGAGGAGAGAGGTTGTGAAGGAGAGTCTTTCATGGCAACCTCAGCTGGTGTGGGAATTGAATCTGCACTTTTGGGATTGCTCAGCATCACAAACTAGCTACCCAGCTAACTGAGCTAACCTACGCCCCTAACCCCTTGACAATTCACTGCACACCACTGAAGAGAGAAATGTGCTCCGGAGAGAAAAGAGGCCTGATCACAGATACAATGCTGTATGAACAGGTGGTATGTAAAATCACTAGGCCATGTGACAATCTGCATTTGAATGGAGCCCAGTCAAATGGGAGGGCAACTAACTTCATTGAACTGCCATTTAAAAAATCACGGGAAAGGATTCTTAACAGTTACGGACAAACATCAATTCAGAACTAAAGGTAACAATCTATATCTCACCATTGGATATACAAATCATACTAACATCTCAGAGGCTGCGGAAAAGAAAACATTCAACCCAAAACATCAGAAAATATATTTATACAGCAGCTTTAATTGTTACCAAGGCGAAATACTAGTATGTTATCAAGATTATTTATTTATTAAGGAACAAGAGGAGACAAGCCATGGAAAACACAGCTGCTAATAAAAAGAGAAGAGAAATAAGCAAGCCCTGTAATGTTAGTGGCCTGGAATAATAGCTTCATTATCAAAAGGGCACTTCAGCTAACAGCTAGGCAAAGAGCATACTGAACCTCCTATAAACAAATCATAACTTATAAACAGAGCTTTGTTTTATACCCTCCGAATGAAAATCTAACAATCAAGGCCTTGGTTTAGTAAAACTTCATTTAGTAAAATTAGTTGCACAAACACCCACTGATGCCCAAAGAGATCATTGATATCAAATGATTGCTTTTTTTATGAAAACGGATGAATCAAGACTAACATTAACAATGTGGGTCTTGTTCTCTTTTAACATGCAGTGTGAACTCCCTCAATACTGTAGTGTCACTACTGTCCAGCACCTGCTGCTCTTGCACCATCAGCTGTATCTAACGTTGTAGTCGCTAGAAAAATCCAGTCACTCTCTACGCTATTATTTTGATTGAGAGGCAGGGGACGTGACCTATTTGGATTTCTAGACGGCCTTTGACAAGGTGCCGCACAGGAGGCTGCTAAATAAGATAAGAGCCCATGGTGTTGCAGCAAGGTACTGATACAGATAGGCAATTGGCTGAGTGGCAGAACACAGTGGGGATTTTTCAGGAAGTCAGTCAGCGACTAGTGGAGTTTACATTTGGGACCACAGCTATTCGCATTATACATTAATGATCTGGATGAAGGAACTGGGGGCATTGTTACAAAGTTTGCAGATGCCACAAAGATAAGTGGAGGGGGCAGGAGATGTTGAGGACGTGGGGAGAGTGCAGAAGCACTTGGACAGGCTAGGAGAGTGGTCAATGAAGTGGCAATTGGAATGCAATGTGGGAAATTATCAGGTTATGCCCTTTGGTAGGAAGAATAGAGGCATAGACTATTTTCTAAATGGGGAAAGGCTTAAGGAACCTGAAGCACAAAGGGACTTGAAAGTCCTAGTTCAGGATTATTTTAAGATTAACCTGCAGGTTCAACTAGCAAATGCAATGCTGCCATTCATTTCAAGAGGGCTAGATACAAAAGCAGGATGTACTGCTAAGGCTGTACAAATTTTTCCTAATCTAGCTGTTAGGAGATGTTATTATACACCTCTGGAGCAGAAGGAACTTGATCCCGGACCTCCTGCTTCAGGAATAGGGACACTACCATTGTGCCACAAGAACCCACTAAGTCTATATAAGGTGCTGATCAGATCATGTATGGAATATTGTGAGCAGTTTTGGGTTCTATTTCAAAGGAAGGATTTGCTAAATGTTGGAGGGGGTCCAGAGGAAGTTGCCAAGAATGATCCTGGGGATGGAGGGCTTGTCAAATGAGGAGTGGGGAGGTTGAGGACTCTGAGTCTGTACTTGATGGAGTTTAGAAGGATGAAGAGGGAAATCTCATTGAAACTTGTTGAATACTGAAAGGCCTGGATAGTGTGGACATGGGCAAGATGTTTCCACTAGTAGGAGAGACAAGGATCTGAGGGCACAGCCTTAGAGTGAAGGGATGACCTTTTAGAACTGAGGTGAGGAAATACTTCTTCAGTCAGGGGGTGGTTAATCTGTGGAACTCATTGAAACAGAAGGTGGCAGACTCCAAGTCATCAGGTGTCTTTAGGACAGAGGTAGATAGGTTTTGATTAATCTGGCCATCAAAGGTTATGGGTGAAGTCATGATTAAATGGCAAAGCAAACTCAACGGCCAATTCTGCTCCTATATCTTATTATCTTATGGTCTTTTTTTTCATGCAGTTTCATTGACAGCATAATTAGAAACACAAGTTTGGTGAAGTTTAAACTTGTAATCGTATGTCCAAAAATATGCAAAACATGTGATTACCCATGCTTAACTCTACTAAGGAATAATTTGCAATAAAGAAGTATATTGTTAGGGCAGCCGGTGGTGTGTGTATGGAGTGAGCTGCTGGAGGAGATGGTGGAGGCTGGTACAATTACAACATTTAAAAAGGCATCTGGATGTGTATATGAACAGGAAGGTTTTACAGGGATATGGGCCAAATGCTGGCAAATGGGACTAGGTCAGATTGGGATGACAGGTCAGCATGGATGAGTTGGACCGAAGGGTCTGTTTCCATGCTGTATGACTCTACGACATTATGACCAAATTATTCCCCCCATTCTGAACAACTGAGAGAATGGGTTAGATTGAGAGCAGGTGACGACCCAGTGGTATCGAGACTGGTAAGGTAGTGTTGCCTCAGTCCCAGAGGAACATTGGGTTCCTCTATGTGAGAGAAAGACAGAGAAATGACTGGTGGGAAATGTAACCTGAGGGCCACCATGCTTCAGGTGAGAGGTGAGGCTGAGAGGGCAGGTCTTTCATGATAACCTAAACCGGTGTGAGTTAGCAATCCAGAGACACAGGTAATGTTCTGGAGATCCGGTTTCGAATCCCACTATGGAAGGTGGTCAAATTTGAGTTCAGTAAGAATCTGGAATTAAGAGTCTAATGTTGACCATTGTCAATTGTTGTGAAAATCCATCTGGTTCACCAATGTCCTTTAGAGAAGGAAATCTGCTTACATTGCCTATATGTGACTCCAAACCAACGGCAATGTGGTAGACTCTTAACTGCCCTCTGGGCAATTAGAGATGAGCAATAAATCCTGGTCAAGCCAGCAACACCCACATTCCATTAATGAAAACAAAAATCACAAAGCAATTTACAACACAAAGACTGCTGGGGTTGAGAGATATGATTGAGATACCAGGAACGAGTAGTAATTTAGGGCTTTAAGGTAGCCTTTAAAGAAAGAGAGGGAGGTAGAGACGTTTTATGTAAGGAATTCCAAAGTGAGGCAACTTAATGACTGAAGGCGTAGCCACAATGTTGATGCAAAGGGAATGGAAGTCCATAAGAGAAGTGGCCAGAGTGCTTCCTCAGTTACAGAGCTGAGGCAGTTCACAGAAATAAGGAGGGGTGAAGACTAACATGCAAGAGGTGATCCCCTTCTCAAAAACAGAACCCATGTATGTCCAAGGCTGAGACTGAAAATGTTGTCTATCAGTAAATGAAATTAGGGTTACAGGTAAGTGTTGTTGAAGATTATCAGATCAACCATGGTCTAATTGATTGGCAGAGCAGACTTGAGGGGCTGAATGGCCTACTTCTGCCCCGAGACATTATTTCTTATAAATGGGGCCCTTGCTGGAGTTCTCTGAAGGGCTCCACTGGACCAATCAAGGCACTGAAATTGCATCATCAGAACCTCTATGGTCTGCTAGATGGCTGCATGGATTGTCCCGTGGATCTTCCTGAAGTAGATCTCAGGCCCATCAATGATGTACTGCAGATTGTGACACCCCACACCTGTCTCCTATTGATCCCTGAAACAATCTGCAGGTTTAGATGTTCACTGTCATGGTGACCTTCAAGTGCCACAGGAAGGGGGTGGTTACCATCTCCTATGGAGGTCAACTCACGCTGCATGATGGCACAGAGACCAGTGATGGCCTCACTGGAAAAGAGAATCTACAGCGACAGAGTTGCTTGGACATTTACCTTAGATAGTGGACTTTGTCTAGAGGACCTGTTTTCAAGATATGGTTCACATAATTCTAATTATTTTTCTTTTGAAGTTCTGCAACTTCTTAAGAAGTACTCCATCACAGATTGCCTCATCAACTGCTCATGTTCTGGTATTTCACCCTCCTTTCCTAAGCCTAAATTCCTCTGCATTCTGGGAATTGTTCTCTCGCGCTTACTCACAGGTACAACTTCAGCTTTTCACGGACAGCTAGCTTCACCAAGCTAGCACTGCCATGGATTCCTTCCCTGGCGTCTACTCATATACAGTTTCATTACCAATTACTGGAACACATTCCTGATTCCTGAGCCACAGAACTAGCCAACTATTCATTGACTTCTTCCTGAGCACCAGCCCACAGAACCTGTGAAGGTTAGTTGTCTTCTGAGCATTCAAGCTAAACAGTGGCACTGTTTAAAATGAAGCCTGCTTCTGTTGGCCCCTCTCTCAAGCACTGCTTACTATTCAACCGTAACGTTTATACTGCTCTTCAGAGGCCCTTGAATGGTCTATTGAAAACTTTGCGACAAGACCATTTTTGTACCTAGGTTGGTTTGAATGAGTCACTTAACAACCATTAGAACACTTGGTTCCCGGAATGGTCCACTTCATTGATCATTGTCTCTTACAGATCAAATGGATACAACAAAAGAAAAAGAATTCATTACAGGGGAAAAGTGTGTTACAGAGTGCGTATGAATACTAAGCATCCAGACTAATAAATTACAAGAACAAAATAAGAACATCACCAAATAAGAAATTCAGCTTAGATAAATATTTTTTTAAAAATTCTTCCTTTTAACCCACCATCCAGATGTTGCAATTTAAGGGGTAAAATGAATCAACCCAATCAAGTGCTGACTGATAACATACCAGTTTTTAACAAAGTTACAAAACCTATTATTCAGCAATCAACCTTGACAAGCTTGACAACTATGAAATATGCTTGCAGTTGACTTGTTACCTTGAAGTCATGTGGACATATTGGCTGAAGTTTAATCAGCTCCAGATACAGTTCTGTGCATTCAAAGGAAACTTTTGTATTCTAACTTTATTGTGCACACTGAGATTTATTCACCACTGAAAGATTCTATACTTACACAATTTCAGTCTCCCCCACTTTTGTCAGCTCTTTCCACGTGTCCTCATCCACTCCACTGTAAATTCCATTATTGTTTACTACAATGACCACTATTGGCAAACCGTACCTAAGATTAAAAAAAAATGCTTGGTAGTGGATCATATTTATATGTACATGCGACAAATGACACAAGGAAATACACAATGAACAGTAGGACCTTGGGAAGCACCAAGGATCTGAGGACCTTGGTGTGCATGTACATCAGTTCCTTCAGGTAGCAGGAAAGAGGCATATGGAATACTTGCCTTTATTATCTGAGGCACAGAGTTTAAAAGCTGGGAGGTTTTGCTGGAACCATCTAAAAGAGTGGTTAGGCCACATCAAGAATATTGTGTGCAGTTTTGTAGCCACATTATAGGAAGTAGATATAATTGCTCTGTACAGGATGCAGAGAGTGTTTACTAGGATGTTGCCCGAGTTGGACAGGTTGTCATGAAGACAGATTGGATCGACTGAGTTTTTATTGCTTGGAGTAGGGAGACTAAGGGGGACATGATTAAGATGTATAAATTGTGAGGTGCATAGATAATGTAAACAGGAAGAGACTTTTCCCCTGGAGGGGTGGGTGGGGAGATCAATGATTTGAGATCGACATAGATTTAAGGTAAGGGCCAGGGTTGTAAGAGGAGATGTGAGGAGATATTTTCACCCAGAGGGAACTCACAGTCTGTAAAACTGGTGGAGACAGCAACCCTGATAACATTTAAGGCTTATTTAGGAGTGCACTTGCGATACCAAGGCATACAAGGACATGGGTCAACAGACGAAAAATGGGATTAGAATAGTTTGACTGGCACAGATTCGATGGGCCAAAGGATTTTTTTCTGTGCTATAGACCTCTGTGACTATACCTCCATTTAAGACATTCCAAACCAACTCTGTAATGGTAAATGTTTAAAAATACAAGTTAGTGAAAAGGGAATCTCAAAAGACCTCATTCATATTTTCAAGATAAGGCTTGGTGTAGATGCAGTGCAGATTCACTGGAACCCTATTAGGACATAAAGAGTTAAATGATAAGGGCCAGTTCCACAAACATAGTTTTAATTCCCCAGAGCTTAGAATGTCAATTTCTGATCTAAATAAGATACTTCTGTGGATTAAGGAGTTCAAGTTGAGAGAGAAAAAAATATTTCTTCTGGGGGTTTTATTTCAGTACAAAAGAGCATAATTTTAAGTTAGAGTTAGGCCAGTTTACAAGCGAAATCAAGAAGCACTTTCTCCTCAAAAAACTGTAGCAGGAAGTGCTGGGCTAATTGAAATTTTAAAGATGAAGATGAACAGATTTTGGAATGGAGTGAAATGACAGGGAAATGGAAGTGAAGGATTGAGAGGGTCTCATTGGCCTACTTCTCTTCTCATGTTCCTATGAAAGGGATTGACAAAACTAATTCAGACCAATTGTTCACCAAAGCCAATGGGATGACTGGTCACTTTGCAGCCAGTCCTGAAGGAGTTATTGATCCCCGTTGTAGGTTTTGAGAATAGAAAATTAGAATGCAGACCCCAAAGGCCAGGGGTGGGTGGAGTCCAGATCCAGTAGAAAACTGGATCAGAACTGAAGTCTTTGGCTCTAAGTAAAACCACAGGGTGTTTGTAAAATAACAGGCTACAGTGGGCTCCTGTGCACGTTGTCTTTGTATATGTGACAGTCCAAACAGAAGTTATACTGATTGCGCTATGTGTCTTCCATCTCACTCTCTGCTCTGTAGGTTTTACCTACTTTGGAATATGGAAGCTCATGAATCAAAACTAACAATGATTTACTAGTGTTAGCTCAATCTGACAAAGATTAAACAAACACATGAGCAAAATACAGAGACCCGGTCCTCAATAATAGCGAGTTTCATTGTTACCTGTTATCTCACTAAAATAAATAGGGCAGCGAAACTATTTTTAATAAGAAGGAAGCTGGTAAAAAGTTCTGAAGGCATCTTTGAGTCCAAAGTCAATATTTGTTTACACTGGGAATAGTTACCTTCCATTGGAAACACTCCATTGAAAGTGCACTCACATAGCACCTTTTTTGAGCACAGGATCTTCCAAATCCATAACAGCCAATACAGGACATTGTTGTAGAGTCGGGAAGCCCAACAGAGAATGTCCAAATCGCAAATTCTAACAGGCAGCAATGAAACCATTCCAGGTGTTGGTTGAGGATTCACTTTTGACCTGAACATTCGGAGAACATCCCAGATCTTGACTGAACAGTGTCATTGAATCTCAGTTTGCACATTCTTAAGTGAATACATGTAACCTATAAACCTTCCCTCCTTCAAGCACATATGATACATAATTTCATCAAGAAATGTTAAGGCTGCTGTAAGTGACTGATAATAACTTGTTTTGCAGCCACTTCTAGAGGGTGAACTTGCTAAAACCTGCTGTCAGGATTATATATGGATCCTGATCCCGATGATGTTCCTCGATGGTGATCACACTTGCCTGTGTGATCGTCACAGAGGTGGCCAATCAACAAGCTCTCTCCAGGAGCTTTGCCCAAATAGGGACAGTGGACTAGCTGCACAGGCAGGAGAACTGAATGGACAACCAAAGGCTGTAGACACCCGCACCTCCACCAGGAAACTGCTGACGTTGGTGTGAAATGGCAAGGACACCTCATGATGGAGGTGCTCCCCGAGGACAGATTAAGTGTGGCAGCATCTGCCAGGCTATCACTGTGGAGGGGGGGAGCATGTGACTGCAATAATATAAAACAAAGAACTGTGAATGCTGAAGATCTGAATAGAAAACAGAAACTGCAGAAGAAACTGCATGTCTGGCAGCATCTGTGGAGAGAAAGCAGATTGACAGCAAAGGCAGGGATTTAATGCAGGCATTGACAGATCCCCAGCTTGCTGCTGGGATACCTTCTCCACAGCTAACAAGTTCTGCACATGGCAAAGACACACACTGGGGCCATTGCAGCCAGCCCTTGAGCAGTGTTCTAATTATCTTAATTGGCTGCCCACCTCCAAGGAGTAGACAGATGAGTCCGGTCCCAATTCGCGCCAGGAAAACTCCCCTTAGTCCAGAATAAATGGTGATCCGTCCCAATGCAGCTCCTCCCTATTTTCCTGGCTGCCATCCCACCTCCAACCTTTTCCTCACAGTGCTGGGAAAATTCAGCCCTGGATTTCAGGACTTCCTTTCACCATTTTGCGGTTCGTGCTTTTCTCTCAATTCCTTCACTACCACTTTCTCTTTCTGGTGTGAGGGAATTCCTTTTCAAACAGTGCCAAAGTATAATTTTAGAAAGCAATTAACCTTTCGGACCATAGATATTGCTCATGCATGCCTGAGGGGCAATGCTACCACTGACATATACATTCTGTTCTGAAGGTGGACTGCTCACATATTCAGCAAACTGGAAAAATAGCATTGCCAGGATAATTATATTTTTATCAATATTAAATATTACACCATCACCCAAGCACCTAACCTTCCAGAAGCTTCGGCAATGACAAAATTACAGATTTACACAATTCTTTGGTTGTTACTTTGATTTAAAATTATTGTCTAGAAAACCCTGAGAATAGAACAACAATCTCAATAAAGATGTTAACACTATCACTGGTGATTCAGTAACTGTGGCTGCCACAGTGGTTTAGTAAGTGTTATATAAGCAAAAAGTGTTTTTCCAAAATAATAGGAAAATAGTCAATGAACCAAATTTATTTTAAAAGTCATATGCTGCCTGAGACTCAGTAGGTAAGTACGGCACATCTCATTGCGTTAAGATTTCAAATCATTTCTTGGTTCCTCCTGAAGTGGTGTGATCTTAGCTTGGCTTATAGAGTGGGCAAGGCCTCAGCATCTGAGTCTAAAGGGAACAGGAAATAAAGAGGTAACAAGATGTAGAGCTGGATGAACACAGCAGGCCAAGCAGCATCATAGGAGCAGGAA